AAAAAAAAAAGGTTTACCTGTGTATGTTCATTATATCATTTCCATTAGGTTTAGATTTTGAGAACCAGTGAAATCCATGATTACTACAGGGGACCTGGGGCTCAGAACTACTGTTCTTAGCTCTGGGTGATTGTGCCATCTGAAGGATGGCTCTGCTGGTCAACAATTTCCAGTTATTTCCTCCCTGGTGTCCCACCCCCCCCAACCCCACCGTGATAAAAATGTCCCTGACGCCACAATATTTTATCACCCTGTGTAACACCCAGCACAAGTGAGAGTGCCAGGCGGACTGTGACAGATTACTCTGCTCTAGCCTAGCGCAATACTAGGAGCATGACTTCTGTTCCTTCTAAGTTCACAGGTAGGTGTTCGTGGAAACATACAGGAACCTGGTTGTTCAAAGACATTAAGTAATTCGCCTAAAGACAGAACATCAGGACGGGGGAAGCCAGAACTCAAACCAAGCCAGTCTGGCACCAAAGTTTCTGCCTTGTTGGCTCTAAATAAATGAAAAACTTGAAATACTGTAATGTTGAAAGTGACAGCATAGCGTCTCCTTACCTGACGTACAGATGGCTGGATTTGGTTTTATTTCATGTAACTTCTTAGAGGAAATCTGTTATCTGTAGAGTTTAATCTTACTACCTATTTTTTTTTAAAACAACAACAACAACACTGGAGCAAAGGAGGAATTCTCTTTTAGAGCATGTGTCTATTTTTCATTCAGAAAGCAAGATAATTTGAGAACATCTGAAGTCATTTCTCCCCTTAGAGACCCTGTAATTCTCAGAGAATGTTCTCGGGGCGCCTGGGTGGCTCAGTCAGTTAAGCGTCTGACTTCGGCTCAGGTCATGATCTCATGGTTTCTGAGTTCAAGCTCCGCGTTGGGCTGTGTGCTGACAGCTCAAAGCCTGGAGCCTGCTTCAAATTCTGTGTCTCCCTCTCTCTCTGCACATTCTCTCTCTCTCTCTCTCTCTCTCTCAAAAATAAATAAACATTAAAAAAAAAAATATATATATATATATATGTATGTATATATATTCTCAGAGAATGTTCTCAGAATCAACAGGATCACAGCAGCCCCCCGGAATGACTCCCCCTTCTGATGCACAGCTTCAGGGGCTCGGCCTCAAGGTTCTCTCAGAGAACCTAATCGTGTCTTAAGAAGGCAGCCTCAAGAGTTCTTGACTCTTAATACTGATTAAAATCAACTCACTATTACTTTGACAGTCTGGTAAAACAATGGGTTAGGCAGGACGAACAGTGCTACGCAATAAAACCGTGAAGACAACTTCCATCTCTACATCTGCCGAAACAGGACCTCTCGGTCACCGTTTTGCCCATGCAAGCATTTTAATTTTTAAAACCACTCTGAGTAAGCCAGGCATGACATAAATTCCCTGAAATGGGGTTCTAACAGCTTTACTGCAAGGAAGCTAAGTGGGCCTTCCTACTTTTCCTCATACTCAGAACGAACTGACAAAAAAGGCAACATTCTCGCCCTTAAATGACCCAGGAACCAAGAAAATCAAAGATCAAGAGGGAGACCTCTTCCCACCTGAGGAACTGCAAAGAATGAATATTCAGATAGAACTGCGTTAGGGCAGATTTTTTTCTTTTTTGAGAAAAATAACAAAGTGTTAAAATATGTCCTTGAGGGGCGCCTGGGTGGCGCAGTCGGTTAAGCGTCCGACTTCAGCCAGGTCACAGATCTCGCAGTCCGTGAGTTCGAGCCCCGCATCGGGCTCTGGGCTGATGGCTCAGAGCCTGGAGCCTGTTTCCGATTCTGTGTCTCCCTCTCTCTCTGCCCCTCCCCCGTTCATGCTCTGTCTCTCTCTGTCCCAAAAATAAATAAACGTTGAAAAAAAAATTAAAATAAATAAATAAATAAATAAAATATGTCCTTGAATACCAAGTATGAAATATGACATAAAAATATCTGCCATAAACCGGGGGCCAATGGCCAAAATAAGTGTGTGTGTGTGTGTGTGTGTGTGTGTGTGTGTGTGTGTGTGTACATAAAATGTACCTAAGAGGTGTGATAGGGACAGCTCCCAAATGGGAAACATTTATATTTTTAGGAGCTGCCTTCTAGCAGCTGAGGCAAGATACGCATCCCAAGTATCACCCACCAAACTGAGAAAATGTGATACAAATTTAAAATTCACAGAAACAAATCTTTGAATTGGGCCAACACCAAGAAAAATCCCATTCGACTGTGGCCTGAGAAACTTCCCGTTACTTTTTCAATTTCTAGAACAAACTTATTCCTGCAGAAATCACTTATTTTCCTTCAACATAAGTGAAACCCGAATACAGCCTCCGGGGGCTCACTCATGTCAAGCAATATTGTTTATGCTAAACTTCTAGCACAAACAAGGATGAGGAATAGTTGTGTTTCTTGTCCCGAGGGGGTGGGGGGCGTGGGGTGCAGAAGTAGCAGATTTTGCCCTGTATGTTTCAATAGTTGAGAATTCTGCTCCTACTCCCTTGAGGTACTGCAGAAACATATATGTGTTCCCTCTACTACAGCCGGACGGACGGAGCTGTTCTTCCACATAATCAAATAGTTGACAGCGGAAATGATGCTGAATCCGTGAGAATGCTCTGTTACTTTAGTTGATTTCAAATGACTCCTTAGAGAGAAGAAATGACCTGTTGGTGTTGACAGAAGTTCACCAAAGCCAAACAGAGAAGTGTGGCCGGAGTGGGGTGTGGGGGCAGATGCAGTGGTACCGCCCCCAATGCAGGAGGCAGCCCTGGTGAGGGGTCAGGGGTCAAAAGGCAACAGTTAATGACACTCACAAACGCCATTCAGAAAAAGGAAAAACAAAGCACATGCTCTGTCGCATAGGGCGGGGTGATCTGTGGAGCTGCATCTGACCATACGTTAATGTTCTAAGGTTGGGGGTGTGGATAGTAGATACAGTTAGGACACTCACAGCTCAAGGGAAGCATCTCTCAGCTCTGCTTCTCCCGCTCCGAACCCAGAGGGATTTGATCTTTAATTCATTGGAGGAGTGCACCGGTAACTACGACCTGTGTACCTACTATGTGCCTGGCACTGTGATCTTCTCTCACAGGATGGACTCCAGGAATCACCAGGATCCCTGATGGACGAAGCACCTTCTGTGCTGGGTGACCCCGCTTTGCTCCTGCCACTCCAGACACCCACACTGCTTCAGACTCCGAGCCACAGCGAGGCTCAGAAGATCAAGGGACCAGTCACAGCAGCCTTTTTAACTTTGGGAAAACCCAATGCTCACTTCACTCAAACGTTGCAAAGTGGTGCCATGACCCTTTAGCTCTTGACTCACCAATTCAAAGAGCCACATCACATACAGCCCTTAAGCTGCCCACGGCATGATTCTGCGTCTAGTGCCTTTCCAGGTCCCCCCAAGCGGAAGACAGTTCTGGCAGGGAGTCTGGGCAAGATTACTATAATATTTAGCCTTTGTCCCTTCTTTTGCTATGTCTTATCGTAGAATAAGGCACACAAGTCTGGGAGACTGGGGACTCCAGTGTATGTTGGACTTGAGACCTGTATTCAAAAGGTACCTGCAGGACCCCAGGTCAGCATAATCTAACCCAAGAACCTCCATTTCAAAGATGAAGAAACTGAGGCTCAAAGAAAGTAAAGCAGGGTCCATTCTTCAGAGACAAGTGGAAGGTTGGGTACAAACTTACTTCAATGCCATGCTTCCTGTCTCTGGAATTTTACTGAGCACCTAACTAGTAGCAAATGGGCAGAACTGAAGAGGGCAGATTTCATTCCCCTAGCTAGAGGTGAGACTACATGTACACAACCACGCTACCTCTCTGAGGATTAGTTTTCTCGTCTGTAAAAGGGAGACAGTGTGTTGGACTGGTGATTTCTCATGTACCTTTCAGGTCTGAAACTGTCACAGGGCTGGAGATAGAATTATGTGTCGCGGTGTATGAATACGTATGTATGTGCATACGTGAGTATATGTATACACATGACATGCTACAATTAAATATCATTTCCAACCACACATTTTGCCTAATGCCCTCAGAGACCATGTTTTCAAAATCCCAAACCAAGGTCAGGCACGTCCCATCAATGCAGCCCTTCAGAATCTCGGGGCGTGCTCAGCACCCCCTCTGGCTTCTCTCCAAACACAAGCGTTGAGTGAGAAGGAAGAGGAGAGGCCGCGTACTGTACAAGAAATGTTAAGTGTCATTACGTTCCCGGGAGGAAACGGCCAAGTGTGCGGCTGGGCTGTGGGGGACAGAACACACCGCAGGAAGCACAAGTTAAAGGGGACAGACTGGCTGCTCGAACTCGGGGCCGGGCCGGCAATGCACCAAGAGCGCAGCGCGTGTCCGTGTTTGGAACAAGCCTGGCTCCGAGCCCACGTCTGAGGCCAGGACCCTGCACTCCCGCGCGCGCAACTCCGAAAAATGGGCCGTGCCGGGGGCGCGCGGCGGGAGCTTTGGCGGCTCGGTCCCAGCGCACGTGGCACGGCCGGCGCGGGTTGAAAGCGCGGCCGCCGCCCCAGTCGCCGGCGCTAGGACCCGGCGCGCCGCGCGCACTTCCTCCCGCCGAACACCGAGCCGCCACCGCGGCGCCCCCTCC